TCTTTAGCTGTAACAGAGGGCATTTGTGAAACACACGATTGAGAGGAGTCGAGCAGCAGACGATGCGGCAATTGCATCTCGCATACCGTCTGCTCTCTGTATAAACAATGACTGCTGGCTGCACATCCCCATGGAAATTCTCATCACCATCCCCATATCCCTTCTCAACTCTCCGTTCCAATGTGCTGCTGCATCACCTCCATTGCCATGTATCTGGGAGACTCTCGCCCCTCAGCCCACTATGCCTGCGTCACTCCTCCCTGCACCGTGCCTACACCTCCACTGCCTCCCCAGCAGCACCACCACTGCTACCAGTCACCCCACCACTCTCCACCGCACGTCGTCTTTCACGGGCAAGCCTGCTCTTGCTGTGCCGCGATTTCCCTCACCACCTCGTCAAACTCGGGTCTCGCCTCGGGGCACTTGTCCCAGCACCGCTCGATCAGCCCCCGCAGCCCCGCGGGGCACTCCGCCGGAATCGCCGGCCGCAAGCCGTTAAGCGCCACCGCGACTGCTGCTTGTAACGGGGTGTAGTCCTCGAACGGTACCTGGCACGCGACAAGCTCCCAGAGCACGACGCCAAAGCTGTACACGTCGCTCTTGTGCGTCACGTGCCACGCGCTCGTGCCGAACGCCTCAGGCGCCATCCAGCGGTAAGTTCCGACCTCCTTCGTCATGTCGCCGCGGTCGCCTTTAAGCCGCGCCACGCCGAAATCGCCGACGACAGCGCGGCCAGCGGAGTCGAGGAGGACGTTGGCGGATTTCAGGTCGCGGTGGATCATGCCGCGGCGGTGGAGGAACGCCATGCCTTCTGCGACGTCGTGCGCGATTCGCAGGGCGTCGCCGAGCGGGAGGCGATCGCCGTGGCGGCGTCGCACGAGGTCGCTGAGCGTGCCACCTTCCATGAGTCGCGTGACGATGCACATGCGACGGCGCGTGTCGAGGCACACGCCGACGAACTCGAGCAGTCGCGGGCACTCGTCGCACGACATCAGCGTCAGCACCTCCTGGCGGAATTCCGTCGCGCTGGCGTGGCGATCAATAGTGTCACCCTTCATTATCTTCACTGCAACCGCCTTCCCCGCGTAGCTGCCGCGACGCACCTCGCCGGACGCGCCGACGGCGATAAGCGCGCCGATTTCGAGCTTAAGCGGGTTGAGGAGGAACTCGCTGAAGTTGTTGGACGGGCTGCGACTGTTGAAGAGTAACACCTGCAAGAGGTCGTTGGCGTCGCCTGCGACGCCTGCGACGCTCTTGGACGACGGGGTGCGAGGCCTGAGGCAGGGACCAGCGGGCGGCTTCCGCGAACTGTCGGGAGTTAGGGTTAGTCTATCGAGCGCTGACGTGGACACTTCTGACTGGCAGCTGCGGATTGTGGTGGGGAGGGCGGTAGCGGTACGGGGTCGTGAGGTCTGCTTGCCGGCGGCCGTAAATATCTCCTCTATTTGCCGCTTCGATATTTGCGAAATCGCCGCTCGGACGGTTAAAAATCCCAAAGTGTATCCGTGGACTGTGCGAAACGAGGAGCAGTCTAAAACGCGTACGCCAGTGCGCTGGAATGCCGCGGTCAAGCTCCGCTTGCAGACGCGCGTGCTACAAGCGAAGGCGACATTCATAATGCCCGTGCACGAAACGTCGTCCACTGACGATAACGAGAACCCGCCGATCGACGAGTCGTCCGTTTCGCTCTCGTCGCCCGTCGTCGTCGAGTCGCCGCTATCTGTCGCACGCATATCGAGTCGCAGAGCAGGGACGCCCTCCTTCAGCGCTGAGGCCTCTTTAAGAAGCTCCATGTGCAGCAGAACGTCGGCTCGCGGATAGTTCTTTGAAACATAGCTGCAGGGACGGACAGAGAGGGTAGAGGAAAGGGGGGAGAGACATGGGTCAGATAAGAACGGCTCTTCTTGCTCGTCCAGTCGGACAGGCACGGACTGAAGCTGCGGCAGATGGCTCTCTCGCCGCCGTCCCCCCTCTCCGCGCTCTCCCGGAGATCTCGCCGGGATGTCCTCTCCACTCTCTCCTCCGCTGCCCCCTTTCCGCTGCACCTCTCGGGAAAAATGGGCAATCAGGGGGGAGAAACGAAACTACTGCCTGACCATTCTCACAGCGCTCACTCGAGCGAGGAAGAATACTCACTCGGCTGGCATGCAGCTCAGGTGGTGCCGAACCGCCGCGTCCTCCGTGGCGCCCAGCTCAAACCCGCTCGCGAGATCCGCCGCGGCATCGGGATGGTCGGCCCGCGAGATAAGCGGTCGCTGGGAGCCTTTCCGCGAGAAGAAGCGGGAGATGCTGAACGGGAAATGGCTGCCGTAGGATTTGGGGAGCGACGCAGTGTTTTCGGGTTGGTCGTCTTCGCGGATGTCGTTCGCCTGCGACTGGAACGAGCGTGCGACGTCGCACATGGCGTCGTCGACGGAGCCTCGCAGCCAGGCGCGGACATTGGCGTCGTTCACGGGGGGTCGAGCGTGCTTCATTGGAAGCCCCATTAGTGTCACTTCTAGAATGAAACAGGCTGGGCTGAGGATTGATCGTTGATATTACGAACTGGCTTCTAATACGTACAAGCAAGGTGAGAGAGTCACGAGAAATGGAGGCGGGCGAGAATTCTGGAAAAAGTAGGGTAGCAGTTGGAAACGGTTATGCGTCCACGATAGAAAGGATACGGTGGACGTGGCAGCGAGGCGGAATTATGGGCGACAGCAGGGCATAGTGCTCATGTCGTTTGGTGTGGATGCGAGGACTGAAGTGAATTGGGGCAATGGCCGCCTCACTCATGCATCTCTCTGCTCCTGTCCAAGTGCACCTCCCAGTCTGGTGAAATGCAATGGGTTGTACGTTCAGATAAACGGATCAGTGGTGGTGGTGGTGGTGGTGGGTTGTACGACCAGATGAGACCAGACTACAAAGGGCGGGCGAACGGGTGAGGTGAGGCTGGGGGAAACGAGAGGCGCAGGGAGAGGGGGAGTGGTTTTGTGGAATGGAGGTTGCGTGTGATACTCTGGCGCGCTTTGCGGCGACTGCGCGGGAGAAGGCCTGCTTGCGTCAGCTTTCGCCCGCTGCGCTGGCGTCTCACCCTCTGAAAATCTCCGCGCAAGCAGTCCTGATTCCATGCCAGCGCAGACGGCCAGCCGTCAGATTGCAAGCAGACGGGGCAGAAAGAAGATGCTGCAGCAGCATCCCAGTGCATCCACGCCCACATTCGCCGCATCAGTGTACAGTTTCAAGTGCTCCGCCACGCCAATCCTTGATGGTCCCGCCAATCGATGGAGGGAACAGAATGGAAGAGCACCCACGGAGGCTGCTTTGCTCCAAGGAGCGCGCGGAAAATCTCCGCGGGCAGTGCTGTGCGGAAGTATCTCGAAGCACTCCCGCCGAGAGCGGAAGAACCACCAGTCCATTTCAGTCAAATGCCGAGAAACAGAGATGGAATCAGTAACAGCCTCCCTCAGCGGGAACAGACTAGCTGACGAATGGCTATTGGCCGCTACGCCAACACGAATTTGAAGACGTCATTACGTCAGACAGGATGGGATAAACTCGCCACGTGGGAGCTTATGCTGGTGGGCGGGGCTACTTCCCCTATTTCACAGCAAGGAGGCAATAATGGGGCAAATCTTCACGTACCCATCATTAATAGGATACAAAAAAACTTACATTACGGTGATGGAAATGTAGGGATCAATATTTTCCAAAGTGATGAAGTCAGAGCTAGGCAACTTCGCAAAAGTTGAATTTCTGAACACACTACTGCCGTAATATTTTCCTTTACGACCCCAGGAACCAGTCCTAGCACAGTCATGCCACCTTCCCATTACCCCAATGTAGCCCAACCATGGACACGTCAAAAGTGCTGGGCAGCACAATTTGCTTCCCTGCCCACCTAGCCCTGCTCGCAGAAAGAAATGGTCTGTCTTCTGCAGGATTAGGGAGCGCAGTCCCGTCCAATCGCGTTACGTATTAAAGCAAGCAGGATTCATGGTCGTATCCTTGGACACTCGAAAAGACACTCCCTAACCAATCAGGAGGGAGAGGAGTTGGAGAAGAAGAATCGACCAACAAACTGGACTGGACCCCATGTGGAACCATGATCCTCTGTTGCCAGCACAGCGTCACTTCGCATAACTCTCAACAAGCCCACACGCCAGAATGATAAAAGCAGCGTTGCATTTTCTAGTCCAAGAAATTTCGCACGTGGTCGTCACCTGTGGGAAGGGAAAACGAAAGTGTAATTCGGCATAATTCGTCATTACAGCTGGTAGGGCAGCACCAGGCCTCTCGCTAAGCCCCAGGGTATTCCGGAAGGGGACGGAATCGGTTCTAGATAAATCCGTTAACAGACGGAATCCCCCCAAAAAAACCCGCTACCAAAAGGAATCGGCCGCTACAAATTCGGCTGGCAGGGAATCAAGAAGCCGGGGGGGGCGGGGGTGTTTGCTAACCCCTACAGATAACCCAACAACAAGCATAGCCCGTACGGATTAAAAAAAAGAGTAACTCGTTGGGCAAAGGCATCGCGCGAAATCGTTTCCGTAAGTTGGACGGATTCGGGGAAAAATCACACCGTAAAAAAACGGAATCGATGGAAAATTTACTCTTAATTTCTTGACATTAAGAATCATTACCCTGTTAGCGAGAGGCCAGGGCAGCACTGAAAGGACATCACACATTCTGTTTTGTGACAGTTGCTGATATTTTGTTCATGTGGTGCAGAAGTGGACCTGCAATCTCAGCCCCAGCCTTGCTGGATTCGCGTCAGACGCAAAAATGATGACATCACAGAAAATCTCTCGCGTCGCAGAGTATCCGAACGACCAACGCGTCAGCGAGTCACGTAACTGACGTGTGCTGCTGACAGCACCATGTATTCGGTGAAGACTGCAACTGTACAACACACAGTATCCGAAGAATTGTACAACACAACGTTAGGTTGCTAAACATTTCTAGTTACATGACAGAGCATCCATGAAAGGGTGACAAAATACTGTCCATGATGGGTAGAGCGGGTAGCATGACTAACAAAATTCATGAGAAACAAATCGGACGACAATGCAGTTACACTTGCTTGGGGACTCGCGGTTCAGGATAAGGAGCCTACAAAAATATAACCAGTCCAGAACTAACTCAGGATCATACGAACTGCATTCATGTCGTGCACCCTGAAGGGAGCCTTGGTCGTCGCTTTGGAAGGAAGCCACATACTATTGTTCAGCAGCTGGCAAGGACACCCACCCCAGGAAAACGCCAAGCATGCCATATTGGGCTGGAGGAGCCTCGTCCTGTATTCCACACACCACCACTGAGCAGAGGTGCAGGTGGAGCACATTCCAAAATGCACAGTCGCTCTACCCACCACCATAACATCACTACCACTAACTTAGTCTGACACACTATGAGCAGAGGATCACAGCGGTGCGAGACGGAGGGACCACTGAAGAAAGCAGATCACAAAGAGTGATCTTCCCGCATGTAAACCACCAACACAGCCATGCCATGCCATGCCAGCACCGGCTGCCAGCACGGACGGTCATGCCTCACGATCACACAGGTGCCCCGCTCACTCCACACCACAACCACGCTCCTGCTGCCCTCCTCACCTCCCTCGCACTATTCATCTCCCACCTCCCTGGTGCCACACAAGCCCAGCTGCCTCCACCGCAGCCGCAGATCGTCCAGCAGCAGCCAAACCAACCCAGCAGCAGCAGCAGCAGCAGCTGCCTCCACCGCAGCTCACCATCCAGCACCAGCGTACCAAGCATCGCAACGCTCAGCATCTCATGCTGCTTGCCCACCTCACCTCCATCTCCCCACCCTCCTATCCCTCGTCGCACATCTCTCCCTCCCTAACCTAAGCTGAACTGTCATCATACAGCGCATCACAACCCAACCAATTGCCTCATCCGAGGATGCCCCCCAACCTCATGTCCAGCTCACACTGCAGGATGCCCCCTCCTGCCCTCTTTACACTCCTTCCACTCCACCTCCCCCCCTCCCCCACCCTCCCCACTCCCTGCCCTCTAACCCTCCCCCCTCGCCCCACCCTAATCCGAGTCACTTCCATAGACAGCGTCATCGATGCTCGCCTCATCGAACGTTCTCATGTCCAGCTGGCACCTCAGAGAGCCCTCATTCCACTCCTCCTTCCGTTCCTACTCTCCGTCCCTCACCGTCTTCTCTTTTGCCCCCCTTGCCCTCCTTGCCCTTCTTGCCCTCCATGCCCCCCTCGCCCTCCGTGCCCAACTCTCTCCCCCCGCCCTAATCCGAGTCGTCATCGTACACCGCGTCATCGTCGCTCGCCTCGTCGAACGTTCTCATATCCAGCTGGTACCTCAAGATCCCGCCAATCCCGCCGAACCCGCGGCAGAACTGCGAGCCCTCCTGGCTCTTGTTGGTCACAAACTCCAGCGTGCACCCGAACTTCTTGTACCCCTCTGCAAACCACTCCAAGAGGGACGTCTTCTCCTGCACCTCCAGCTCTGCCCCGGTCTCCGCGTCCCGGAAGTGCGACTGGTCCGCCTCCTGCTCCTTGCTCAGGTTCTTTATCACAATCTCGCCCGTTACTGCGTTCTGTGGAGGGATGAGCGGTGGAAAGGGATGAAGAGGGGTAAACAGGGGGGTGAGGGGGTGCGTCCGGTCGTCTCCCCAGCGCCCATGTAGAGCATTGATATGACACACACATGCGTGTGTGGCTCCTGATCCCGTTCTACCACCAGCATGCCACGCATCCCTCACCTTGAGCGTGTATCTGTTGATGTCCAAGTTATCCCACACGATCAGCGTCTCCACGGCGCCCATCTCGAGTGCACAGAGCATGTGTATTTGACCTCTTAATTCCATGTTTATGTGCCGTCTCACTCACCTGGAGCGTGTATCAGTTCACATCCAGGTTCTCCCACACAGTGAGCGCCTCCACAGCCCCCATCTCAAGCGCTGATACCATGTGTACGTGACCCCTTAACCCCACGAATGTCATCCTGATACCAAGTGTGCCGTCTCACTCACCTTGAGCGTGTATCGGTTCACATCTAGGTTCTCCCACACGATCAATGTCTCCACGGCGCCCATCTCGAGTGCCTTGAGCGTGTCGTCCACGCCAAAGACGTACTTGCCCGTGTCCTGGCTGATCTCGTCAAAGTACTTGCCAATTAGGCGCTTCTCCTGCATTGGTAGGGATGGATGACGTAAGGGAAGGGCAATAAGGGAAGAGAGGCACGACTTGACAGTTCGCTTACACCCTCACCTGAGGGGAGTCAGAAAAAGGTTCATCTCAGTGCGTCTGACGGACGCTTCGCCACAACGAATCTGACCTTTCACCTGGATGAACCTCACGTTACACAACACCTCAGTGCTGAGCTTACTAGCCGGCTACAACTGTTCTCAATTCACCTGAATATCCACCTGATGTTTCTCCTACTGCTTTGCCTCACCCGAATGAACTTAGCATTGGCTAGCAGCTCGGTACTGAGCTTAATAGCTTGGCTGAACCCGTTCTCAATTTACCTGAAAACCCACCTGAGATTTCACCTGAGCGCCTTGCCTCACCTGGATGAACTGACGTTGGTCAGCAGCAGCTCCGCGCTCAGCTCGATGGCTTGGCCGAACCTGCGAGCCGGATAGGCTGACTAACGCACCTTACATGCTCAGAACCCAATGGCTTCACCCCTGCGTCCTCTCACCTGGATGAACTTGACGTTGGCCAGCAGCTCGGCGCTGAGCTCGATGGCTTGGCTGAACCCGTTCTCCCCGCCGTACGACACGTCCACCACGTTCAGGATCTTCGTCTGGGGGGGGGTGGGTGGGGCGGATGTGACATGGGCGCGACAGTAAGGGGAGATGCGATGGACGACTGGGAGGGAAGGACATAAGCCCGCATCAACCCGCTCTCCCCGCCGTACGACACGCCCACCACGTTCAGAATCTTCGTCTGGGGGGGGGGAGGAGGGGTGAGAGAGAAGGGGTGTGTGACGCAATGAGTGGGAGGGCACACCGACCCCTTCTCCCCGCCGCACGACACGCCCGCCGTACGACACGCCCACCGTACGACACGCCCACCGTACGACACGCCCACCGTACGACACGCCCACCACGTTCATAAACTTCGTCTGGGGGATGTGTGACAGCGGGACGTGACAGCAACGAGGAATGAGCGCAAGAAAAAGTCTTAGATTCGCATCAAACGCGTTCTCTCCGCCGCATGGCACGTCCGCCACGTTCAAAGCCTTCGCCACGCAGCCAGCGAGTTCCAACCACGCGCCCCCCCCCCCCGCCTCACCTGCAGCCGCTGGTCGAACATGTCCGACTGGCTCACTCCGTCTTAAACTCCGCCGCTCCCGCGAGCACCAGCCCGGACACATTAATCCGCGACGTCTGCGGATTGAGAAAGAACTGCACCGCCAGCTCCGCCGCCCCAACGACCCGTGCCCCCCGTGCCCCCCGTGCCCCCCGTGCCGCCCGTGCCGCCCGTGCGCCATGCGCCATGTCCCGACAAATTGGCATCACTGAATCCCGACTTTCGCCACATCCGTTTCCCCGCCATCTCACCTGCAGCCGCTGGTCGAACATGTCGGATTGGCTCAGCTCCGTCTTAAACTCCGCAGCTCCCGCGAGCACCAGCCCGGACACGTTAATCTGCGACGTCTGCGGATTAATAAAGAACTGCACCGCCAGCTCCGCCGTCTTGCGCACGTAGTTATGCCGCTTCTCCATCCTCAGCCGCGCAAACCGCAGCGCGGACTGCCCTCCGCGCCCGTGCTTCTTCGGCAGGTCCACAGTAAACTTATGTAACACCTCGCGCGTATTACCCGAGAGAGTGCCGAAGAGCGCGCCGTTGCCGTCCATGACGATGAAGCCGAACTTCTCGTCGGACTCCAGGAGCTCGTTCAGCGCCTCCGTGTGGAACTTGTTGTCGCACAGGTACAGCGACGCGTTGATCGGCTTGAACGGCTCGAAGTCGATGGTGACCTTCTTCTCCTTGCCGTCGTCTGTCACGATGGTTCCGGTGTAGAGCACAAGCCCGTTCGGAGGTACCTGAAAGAGGGAGAGAGAGGGGAAGGCGGAAGCGGGAAGGGGGGAGGGAGAGAGCGACGCGTTGATGCGGCGGCACGGCGCCAAGTCGATCGGCACCTTCCTCGCCTTGCCATCGTCCGTCACGATCGTGCTCGTGTACAGCACGAGGCCGTTTGCAGGGACCTGGGAGGGAGGGATTTGGGGCGGGGGTGAGAAGATGCATTTCAGTGTGGGTGCGGTTAGCGGTCCAATCCATGCCGACGCCCGTGACTATCGTGCCGAACGTGCCGATCGTGGCGATCGTGGCGATCGTGGCGATCGTGCCAATCGTACCGATCGTGTGCAGCACCAGCCCGTTGAGGGGATAGCGAGAATCCGACGAGATCGCTTTCACGTATGCTCAATTGTCGCCTGGAGAAACGACTCGACGCGGAAAATCAGCCATGCTCGACGTTCAGGACAATCGGGCTCAAAGCTCGGCCGTATGCAACGTGAGGTAACGGACCGAGGCCAGTGGGACACTACACGGAAAAGCCTTAGCTGGAGAAACGTTTTACCCAATCGCACAGATCGCGGATCTAGAGAGTACACTGGACGCAGTTACGTGAAGCGTCGCGTGCGAAATCTGTCAGTTTTCGAGCGTATTCTGCAGTGGAAAGCCGGTGGTCCGTGCGCGACGAGCGGGACGCTACGCTCAACTTGGATTCCTTGCTCACGGTTCACCGAAAACGTTTTTGAGATTTCTAAAAAATCTCTCGTCGGGACGCCACGCTCAACTCGAATCCCGTGCCCACGGTTCACCGAGAACGCTTATCGCGGATCGCAAAGGGCACATCTTACCTAAACCCTCGCGAACTCCTCATGAGAACGATAGGTGATCGCAGTTTGCTCGGTAAGAATCGACATACCCCTCTCGCGTCCCCTATTGCGACAAAACGTATGGACGGACCTCTGTTATCAAGCGTACCTCGTACGCGTACCTTGTTGTAGAGCTTGAGTCGTTGTTGCGCAGACGTGATGGCACCCAGCACCGACTGCCGGTTGACGCGATTCTTGATGTTCGACGCCGTGCCGAACTCGTCGCCAAGCATCTTCGCCACTCGCGCCACCTGATCGCGCGGCGGCATGATCAGCGAAATCATGCTCGTGCCGTTTCCCCTCGCTTGCTCGAGAGCTTTGATCAGCTTCTTAATCTTCCATATCTCTATATTCTTATCGTTCTCTGGCCCAGTGGCGTCCGCCATGGCGGGAACGGAGGTCCGAGAGGGCTTAGCACCAGCAGCCGTGAATCACGCCAACCACGCGAGCAGCCGCGGGGTTGCGCAAAACCCTGATCCCTAGTTATTACTTGGGACGAAGAGAAGGCAGAGCAAGAATCCGGGTGCAGGGCGCAGGAGCAAAGAACGAAAGGAAAAAAGATTTTTGGTTGGGCGGAGAGAAGGTTGGTGAGAAAGGGTGGACCAGAGACAAAATAAAGGGAAGGATGATGGGATAGATTCGGGAATATACCGTATAGTACAGTGCGTTACACTGCGGTACACTGCAATAATGTAGACGACCTGGTTCGATAGGTCACAAGTGGAGGTTGTGGCGAGGGTGCAGCGCGAGTGGTTGGGGTGTTTGTCTGGACTGCGAATGCGATACGCGATTGGCCGAGAGCAGGTCAGGTCGGTGAGCGGGACGCGAGGCTGCCACGTGACGGATCCGCAAAACTCGTTATAAGCGTTCTATGAATGCTGATTGGGTCGCCAAGACGATTTTGTTTCAGCAGAAAGTGTAGGCAAGGCTCCTTGAAAACAAAGAGGGGTGAGCAGAACTAGCCTTAGATCGAATTCTGAAGTTGGGCCGACGACCAAGTTTTCCCATCGGCACCAAGTTTTCCCATGCGACACGAGAAACAGTGGTGGATACCCAACCTTGCTGCGAAACGCTCGCGAAAAGGCTTGCGAAAACAAGCCGCGAAAATGCGACATGCAAAACTTCGCAGCCAACTGGGAAGCGCGCACAACGGGTTGCAATATATATCAAGAAAAAATGATTGAACTAGAATGTGTGTGTAGAAGGATATATAGACTAGGGTGTTGTACCCTCTAAGGCACAATCCAGTATAGTCTACAGTAACAACCTAAGTTACATTTGACACACCCCCTAGACTATATAGGGGCAGTGCCTAACAAGGGAAGAAGCAGCTCAGGGCGGCACTACTAGTCCAGCCTCTGAGACAAGAGTCTAAAGACCAGTCAAAAGGAGTACAGACAAGGCAAGAGCAAGCCCAAGGCGGCACTACTAGTCCAGCAACTGGGAGAGGCCACACGGACAGTCTGGGTAAAATATATATATAAAGGACAATACAAAGTCAAGGCCCTAGCAAGTGAGAGGCTACAGGAACGAGACCCAGCTGTACACAGTGCCGCTGATGATCTTTAGGCGCAAGCGCCTTCGTAAAGATATCAGCTGTCTTCGCACCGGAGGCCAGATGTACTACGCGCTTGGCGACGCTGCTGCAGCTCACGCAGGAGGAAGTACCGCAGCTGAATGTGCTTCGCTCTGCCCTCGAGTCGAGGCTCCTGACACAGGAGGATCATGGCCCTATTGTCAGCGTACAGGACCGGGGCAGAGCTAGGCCGCTCACCTAAGTCTGTGAGCAAGAAGGTCAGCCAGCGGAGCTCCTGTGCCGCCATGGCACCGGCGTAGATCTCAGCCTCACAGCTGGACTGGGCAACAAACGAGGAGTGGGTAGCTCTCCACGAGACGGCACCTGAACCAAGGCTGAAGCAGTAGCCCTGTGAGGACCTGACAGTCTCGGCGTCGTCTGCCCAAGAAGCGTCTGTGTGTCCAGTAAAAACCACTGGCCTACGTCCTCCTAGACCTAACCCCATGCCCGATGTACTTGCAAGATAACGCAAAACCCTCTTAGCGGCACACCAGTGCTGAGGTCGGTGTCTGCCTGTAGCCACAAAGCGAGCCAGGATGCTGAGAGGGTATGCGAGATCTGGGCACGTGCAAGTTATCAGGTACATGAGGCAACCCACCAGCTCTCCGTAAGGACCACTGGGCTCTGCTGACTCCCCAGGAACTGGAGCGGAGAGCCTGTGGTCTAGAGGCAGAGGAGTCGGCTGTGCGGAGGAGAACTGAAGGCCGAACCTCTAAAGGACCTGGCGCACCAAGTCTGACTGAGTCAAAGTGATGGTGCGGGCTGCTCTGTCCCTGGAGATCTGCAAGCCAAGGTAGTGGCACAGTTCTCCAAGGTCAGTGCAGGTGTGTCTCTTCAGCAGCTCTGCCTTCACGGAGGCCAGTGCGTCCTTGTCTGTCGTGGCGAAGACCAGGTCGTCTACGTAAACAAGGATGTAGAACGGAGTCTGGCCAGCACGAACGAAGAGCGAGGGGTCTGCAGAGGACGGGAAGAACTGCAGGTCAGCAAGCGTAGCACGCAGCGTGTCGTGCCACTCACGGGGAGCCTGCCGTAGGCCGTAGACGGGGCGCCGTAGGAGCCACTGGGTCCCAGGAAGGAAGGTACCAGTGAAGCCCTGAGGGCGACGCAGGTAGACCTGCTCGTGTAGACTGCCCTGAAGAAACGCAATGGAGAAGTCGAGGGAGGGAAGCTCGTAGTCACGCTGCGCTGCTACGTGTAGTAGCACCCGAAGAGTAGTCATCTTCGGGGTCGGAGCGAAGGTCTGGAAGAAGTCCACCCCCTCACGCCGACTGAAACCTCTAGCCACGTAGCGCGCCTTGAATACAGGCGGCTCTCCAGGAGGGCGCTTCACCTTGAAGAGCCAGCGGCCATCAAGTTCGTTCACCCCAGGTGGGAGAACTGCGTGGACGTAGGTACCGATGGATCTCCAAGATGCCATCTCCTGCTCCATGGCAGCTATCCACTGAGAGGCCCAGGGTCCCGAGACCGCCTCAGCGTAAGTGCGAGGGGTCGGGATGTCGAAAGCGTCGGGGTCTCCCTCAAGGACTAGAAGCATGGAACAGAAATGGGGAGCGGCCTCGGACAGGAAAGCAAGCTCGTACTAGCGGTCCTCTAGGACGTCACTGCCAAGGGCAGGAGCACCCCCGACAGACGGAGGACAGGCAGGGTCAGAGACCAAAGCGGTGGCGTAGTCAAGGTGGCGGGTAGAGGCGAAGTCAGCGACCGCAGCGACAAGGGCGTCAAGGGTCGAAACCGGAACAGACGGGTCGGTAACGAGAGAGGCAAGGACACGAGGAACAAGAGGACAAGCGACACGCAGGTAGTTAGACAGAGGGGGGGAGCAACGACAAGGGAGGACGGAGGGGGCGACGGGAGAAGGGGAGGACGAGACGCGTGGGAACGAAGCAACATAGGGTGAGAGCGCGAGACAGGGGAGTCAGGTCGAGCACGGGAGGGACGGCGAGACCAGACGTGAGACGGGGGAGTCGGGTCAAGAGACAGAGGAGGGGACACAGGAGGGGAACGAGGGGGGAAACGGGTCGGAGACGCGTCTGGAGGAGGGAACACAGGGCCGGAGACAGGAGGAGGAGGAGGCACGGGCACGGGGTCAGGGGACGGAAGGCCGAGCAGGCGAAGAGCGGACACCGGCGGGGACTGCTGTGACGGCGGTGTGACGCCGACACCGGGACCGCAAGCTACCGAGCGGCTACCTCCAGAACACTCAAAACCAGCACCCCCAGAAGAAACACCCCCAGAGCTCAGAACCCCTCGAGCACCGGTACCACCCCCAAGCCCGCCGGGAAAAGCCACGACAGGAGTCCCAGGACTAGTCCCCACCCCAACTCCAGCACCCCCAGAGGCAACCAACTACTGCGGCGATGGCTGCGGCGACGGCGGCGGCGGTGACGACGGCTGCGATAGTGGTGGCGACTGCGGCTGCGGGGGTGGCGGAGGAGGGGACACCTGAGAAGGGGCAGGCGGCGAGGACTGCGCCGCAAGACTACCAGATTCTGTAGACTCCTCAACCGGTACAACCGACGTAAGTGGGGTGACGTGGGACACACCAGAGGGGGCAGGACGGGGAGGTGGAGGAGGAGGGGCGGCGACGACCGGTGAAGGGGTGACCAGGAATAGGGGGGGGGGTAACCGGGGGACCTCGGTGGGGGAAGCGGCGGAAGAAGGAGACGGACTCATCAAAGGTGACGTCACGTGAGTGAAAGAACCTGTGAGACGGCGGGTGGTAGAAGTGCCAGTCAGACGCGTCAAGGGGGAAGCCGAGGAAGACACAGGGAAGGGTGCGGGAAGTGAGCTTGTTCGTGCCAGAGGCACGAACGTGAGCAAGACAGCCCCAGACGTGGAACGCAGACGCGTCACTAGGTGACCCAGACTAGAGGAGGGTTGGCGAAACCTGAGGCTGCTGGGGGTGCAGCCACAGGTTAAGCTGGTGAGCGGCGTAGCGAACGGCGAACGGCCACAGAAAATGGGGTGCACCGGCATGGATCATGGAGGTGCGAGCCACCTCCATGACTAAACCGATGCGTCGCTCAGCGACCCCATTCTGCTACGGGGAGTCCGGCAAGGTGAACGTCTGGGTGATGCCCTCCGCACGACAGAAACGACCCAGGACACCAGAGGCAAACTCGCCACCACGGTCGGAGTGGAGGCGCAAGACAGGGAGACCGCGACGGACACGCGCAGCGATAAGCCACGGGATAAGAACGTCAGACACGTCGGCCTTCCGCTCCAGGGGGAACACAGTGGTGTAGCACGTGTAGTCGTTGACAAGCACTAGGAAGTAGCGCTCTCGACGCGGCCCATGGACGGGGGCGGGGCCCAAGACGTCCATGTGCAGAGTCTGTAGCGGTGCGGCGGTAGGGGGAAATGAGGAGGAGTGAGGAGCACGGCGAAGCCAGCCCTCGACACAAGGTGTGCAAGGTGGGGCAGGGGAGGAGGGAAACTCAGAGAACGACCCAGGGAGGCCTAGGACGAGACCGTGCTGTGACATGTGACGCAGACGCGGGAGCGCAGGGTGACCTTGACGGTGGTTCCACAGGAGAGTCGGGTGGGTGAGTGACCGACAGGAGTAGGCAGCAGCAACCTGGGTAGACGCAGCTACCTGAGGGGGGGTCCCAGCCGGGGGGGTCACAGTGTCCAGTGTGAACAGTCGGGACATCGGGTCCCGGGGGAATGTGGTAAGGGGGGCACCAGTGGCGGCCTCGGTACAGACATCGTACCGCTCGTGACCAGGGAACGTAGTGGTGACGCCAAGGTCCTGGAGGCAGCCGACACCAACTAGGTTCCTGGAGAACGAGCGGATGTGCAGGCCTGTGAGAGAGCTCGAAGGAACCGCCGGGCAGGGGAGGGTGGTGGAACTGCGGGCGACTACAGGGTCAGAGGAGGGGTCAGCCAGGGAGACGGCGGGAGGGACAGGAAGCGGTGTCAACATGTTAAAGTCACGGAAGAAGCACGGGGAAGCGCCAGAGTCGAGGGTGAAGGAGAGCGCGGCAGTGGCG